GCTGGAGGGGGCTCAGGGCTGGGGCAGGGGATTGGGGTGCGGGAGGGTGTTCAGGGTGTGGGCTCCAGTCGGGTGGCGCTTACATCAGGCAGCTCCCAATCAGCCAGGCAGCGGGGCTAAGGCAGGCTCCCTGCCTGCCCCGGCCCCGCACTGCTCCCTGAAGCAGCTGGCATGTCCCTGTGGCCCGTGGGGGTGGGGGGGCAGGGGGCTCTGCGTGCTGCCCCTGCCTGCAGGCACCACCCCCGCAGCTCCCATTGGCTGGGAACTGCGGCAAAGTGCTGCGGAGTTGGTGCTCGGGACGGGGAAGCATGTGGAGACCCTCTAGGTGCTGGGGCCATAGAAGTTGCTGAGACGTGACGCTGTGCTCGGTACCTCCACAGTACCACAGACATACGTGCAACTATCAATAAGGTGCGGGAGCCGGGAGGAGCAGGTGTGAGCATGAGACGGAGAGCCAGGCCAAGGGCCCTGTAATCCTCTGGGCCAGAGGTCCCCAAACTGTGGGGTGCGCCCCGGGGGGGGGGCACAGAGGAATGTTCGGGGGGCCGTGGCTAGGGGCTCTGTTGCTGGTCCCGCACCCGGGTCCGAGCTGCTGGCCCATGCTTGGAACCCCGGCTGCCGGCCTTGGCCCCTGGCCTCCGCTGTGCTCCTGGCCCAGCCCCCACCCCCCGCTCCCAGCTGTGGCCTCAGCCCCCTTACCTCTGTCTGTGTCCCCCCCCTCCCAGAGCCGCAGCCCCGCTCCTGACTTCGAGGGAGATGTGTAACCCCCTCGCCGGACCTGTTAAGCCCTGGAGCCCTGAAAACTCCGAGGGCAAATGCCACTCGCGGCGTCCCTGGCCTGGAGTGCTGCCAAGTGCCCCCTGCAATCGCCCTACAGAGCAAGCTCTGAAGGGGAAACACTCCTGACCCCAAGGGCCGGATAGAGTCCAAGGCAGCAGGGACTATTGTGACCATCTGGTCGGAGCGGCTGGATCGCACAGGCCGGAGCCCTGCCCTGAACCAATTCCTGCGTCGAGCCCAGTAGCTGTGCTTGAGCTAGAGCAGATGTTTAAAAAAAAGCCGATCTTCGTTTAAAACTGGCCAGTGCTGGAGACTCCACCCTGATTTAGGTTAATTACCCTCCTCGCCGTTACAAAACGATGACTTATTTCTAGCCTGAATTTCTCTAGCTGCAACTTCCAGCCATTGGATCTTGTTCTACCTTTGCCTGCAAGAGTGAAGGGCCCTCTGGTGTCGAATTCTGCCCCCCATGTAGGTACTGCTGGACTGTGATTAAATCACCCCTTAAACTTCTCTTTGACAAGCCAATAGATTGAGCTCCTGGAGTCTGTCACTAGAAGGCAGGTTTTCCAAGCCCTTGATCATTCTTCTGGCTCTGCTCTGACCCCCCTCCACTTGATCAACTCTCGGCATGAATTGTGGCCTCCAGCACTGGACACGGGATTCCAGTTTGCACCAGTGTCAAATACAGAGATCACAGAACCTTTCTGCTCCTACCCGAGATCCCGTTTATACATCCCAGGATCACATTGGCCCTTCTGCCCACAGGGGAGCACTGTGCAGCTGATTATCCCGCAAGTTAAAGTCCCCCATCTGGAAGTATGCTCTGCTTGCCTAGTTCTTAGAAGTATGATGTTGCATTTGGCCGTATTAAAACAGATACTGTTTGCTTCTGCCCAGCATACCAAGCGATCCAGATTGCTCAGTATCGGGGACCTGACCTCTTTGTTATTTACCACTCCATTAGGGTATGTCTACACTACGGGATTACTCCAAATTATTTACCACTCCGTTAGGGTATGTCTACACTACGGGATTACTCCGATTTATTTACCACTCCGTTAGGGTATGTCTACACTAGGGATTACTCCGAATTATTTACCACTCCGTTAG